ATATATATATATATATATACGTCTTATAAACCATATATATATAATACACATATGAAAAATGTCAGAAATAACGCATGAAAATCAAACTAAAAAAATAGTTATTATTTCTGACATTTCTCATATGTGTATTATATATGTATATATGGTTTATAAGACGTATATACTATCTGTCATCGCAGTGACGGATTGTGTTCACTGACAACACGTTAAATAAAAATAACAATAGCGTGCGCGTAGCGCGCGCCTGTGTTGTGCTAGTATTAATAAAATTAATATTTTCTCATCATCACTGTGTATAACCAGAGAGAAGACTGAGAGCGGCCATGGCCATATGAAAACCTGTAATGACTTTTCCGGCCTGTAAGTCAGCGCTATGTTCATGGGTGGTGCACGATAGCAACTACAACCATGTCCACGAGCGACTCGACGGTGCTGTGTCCAAACGTAGCCATGGTTTTATTCTGTGCTATGTGCACTATCATTACAGAGCTGAAAAGCTATTACAGTTTTTCATATGGCTCTGGCCGCTCTCAGTCTTCTCTCTATACATACCATGTGTTAATAACTTTACTTATTTCTAGTTGCATACGCGTCGATAACACGACTTTTTACCAATCACAGGTTTAATCGTTCCTTGTGAAGATTATTGATCTGTATGTGTAAATACATATTCGGTGAAACTACTTTTTCTCTATCTACATCAAAGTAGCAGTTTGACAAAAAGGTAAAATTATGTTATTTATGTAATTATTACATGTGTAAGTCATATTCTAGATGTAATAATTGCGAGCATAGAAAAAGCGAAAAAGAGGAGAGAGAGAAAAAGTAGATTAAATTTTTTTTCAACACATCTGGCATAGTGACAAAATGTGTTTATCGTATTTAGGTAGAGAAAATAATATAAAACAAAAAACTTCTCTCAAAGAATAATTGCGCGCGATTATTTCAGTCAGTTTAGAAAATGACCCAATTTATTATTTCAAAAGGCTCACTCTGCTCGTTTTTTTTTTTTTTTATTTTTTTTTTGCGTCGTGCCACTGGATCTGCGTCTGTCACAGTATTTGCGCGGTTTCCCGACTTCATTACTAATATTTAGCATTTTAATGAGTTGGCTCGGTTTAAAAATAAAATGTCATGTTTTGCGAGCTGAAAAAAGTAACGTAAAATAAGATATATAAAATCCATGTTTATATTTGCCTGTTTATACTACACGTACGAGATTTACAATTTTCATAAAACGCGCGTGTGCGACATTTTTTTTTTCACTAATTCATAAACTTTCGAGCATGTGTAAAACAAAGCCGCGCGATACTTTATTTTATTGCGCCGCCGTCTTTCCGAGATTCTTCAAAAGAGTGGCAATGTTCAAAGAATTCGACATCTTCTTTCAAAAACAGAAAAGCAACACGCGTTCAAAGAGAGATTTTCTCTTCCGATCTGCTTGCAATTTTCCATTTGTCGCGGAATACATCGTCGGTACGAGAATGCGCTAGCGTGAAACATATTTTCACAGAAAAATACCTTCGTTCATTGCGATTCCGCGTACTCCGCGCACACACATTCAGCAGAATAATAAAAATTCCCTCGACTCTCAATCTCGCGTTACGGAGATTGTAAAGCCAATTTTGCAATATAATTATTTTTTTGCAACACATTAAACGTACGCTGCAGTTTTGCGCGAGTCAAAACAGATATCAATTTGCGACAATCAGAAACGATCGCTCGAAATCTTCGTCGATTTAAAATCGCGCAGGCGGATCTCGTTAAGTCGGGAACTTTATTCCCACATCATAAAGATAAATCGTTACAAGTATTGCGTATTGTATTAGAGATTCAGCACACGAACTACGAACGGTATAAAGGTCGGTGGGGATGTTCTCTGCGGGAAAATTTACGTACAACCCCGAACGTGAATCTCGTCTGCGTACCTTCCCTACATGTTGTCTTTCCCCTTTTCTCTCTTTCTCTCTCTCTCTCTCGCTCTTTCTCCTTTCCTCTCGACAAAAGCCATCGCGTATAATTTCGGTATTTATAGGATTAATGTCTTCTGCGCGGCTCCTCCGATGTACGCGATATCCGAAGAGATGGGTTTTCGATAGATCGATCGGGCCAGCTGGCGCGCGGGGGGGCACGCGCTCTGCCTAAGCCGCTTATAACGGTGCCGAAAACTTTTGCGCTTTTTTGGAAATTCGCGCGCGTCCCGTAATCCGACAGGCGCTATGGTATTAACGGTAATTTCGAGGGAATGGAGTGATAATTGATTTCAAAGAGGGGAATCAAAGACCGGAGACGCGCGGATTGTCGCGTGTGCACGCTACTGCGCGCGTCGCGTGTCTATTTGTCACGTGCGAAATTTCCGATTATCGCTTCTCGATCCTTTCTCGATGCTATCACATGGTACGGAGAAGTGGGATCGTTTGCCGATCGATGCTCGCTTATTTAATACGGCACATTGTAACATTACGACGAATTAACGTAATTAAAAAAGCCCACACGTAGTTCGTCTCGCGATCGTAATATCACTCGCAAGAGCAAATGTTATCATCAGTTATCGAGTTTCCTATCGCGCTCCTTCTGTGTACTTCATCTCCAGAAAATGAAATGGAAACATCCAATTTCATTCTTACATTCAATATTTGTTTCCCGTTTTTTTTTCTTCTGTTCTTTGATGATGCGATATAAAATATAAAAGCACTTTTTTATACCCATGAATTTTTTCTATCACAGCACGTAAATAAATATTATTATAATTGTTTGATAATATTGCGGGAAAATTCTGCGTATTTTAACGTTCGTTCGTCGCCGATGGGAATATCGACGACAATATTTTGTTGCGCCTTGACGCAATTTAAATTCCACTTCCTTCGTCAATTATCTCAGTGGTATGTAATGCGCAATTGCGAGAGAGCGCCTTCGGCGAGAAAGATGTGAGATTGGCAATAATAGTATCTCGGCGATATAAGAATTTACACGCGTAGGCGCGTTTTGTTTGTCTCGGACAGTTAATGTATTTCGAGCTATTTTCTTCTTACTACACGACTATCGAAGTGAGGAAAAGACGGAAGTCTTAACGCTGTAAGGTGCGCTGCGAATAATATATTACCGATATATCGATCTTATTTATGCGACCGATGAATAACGACGCACCGATTAAAGCGCGACAAAGTGCGTGATAGGTTCAACGTTATAAGAGGAAACGCGGCAATAATGCCCTATAAATTAATTCATATGTACCGCCGTTGTGGAAAACGATAATAACAATGCATTATTTCGATCGGAATGAACAAACCCATTACGTGACGCTGATGAACTTTCGATGTGTAATCGTCGCTCGCGATAATTACGCGTAATATAGGTGTACTTAATAAATAAACGCGTAGGCCGCGATTATTTTTAATATATTGCGTTATCCCCTGCAATAAATTTATCGCTCTTCGATCGCTCACCGTCCCACCTGGTTTACAAAACCTGCGCCGCCGAGATGAGAGACGCCAATGTGAAACGCGCACAGTACCGAACGCCGCGCGACCCCGTTTCCAACAGTCGCGCATCCAAGCAAAAAGGGACGTAATTCTGAGTTATGCCGAACATTTCGTTGAAGATTACAAGTTACAAATGAGACTCATATATCGAGGGATTACATCCCGCTTAATACAGTATTGAAAGAAGAGGCCGAACAGAGGCCTGAGCAAACAAAATCTCCGCAGTCGATCTTCGCAGGTCGCCCAGTTTGTCAGAGAGAGAGATTCACGTCTAATAATGGACGACATACGTCGATATAACACACGAGCCCGCCGAAACACATATGTTCGCTAATAATCGTGGCGATCCTCCCCGTCGGGAATTGTGCACACAGAAATATACTTGGATCTCAGCTTTTTTCTTCAGATCTTATCTCGCACACGCGCGTACGTTGATTAAAAAAAAAAGAATAATTATAATAACATGCAGTGTAATTAGCAGTGTAATTTGCAAATGAGAAGGACCGGAAAATGACCGAAACGACGATCAAAATATACAACCGCACGTACGTCATCGCCGACGAGTGCATTTGCCATTCAATGACGGCGCGGGGGAGAGTCGTAATCAATAAAATCTAATTATTGGAAAAGCTGCCGCGATCTCAAGAGAGCTTTTTGGATTTAATCCGATCAAAGGAACGATGTTCGGCATATATAGCGTATAGTAAACTTCGAATTCGCGTGGCGTTGCACGAAATATCCGCACGTCTATGCAATATCTTGCAATAAATCATGTCGTTATTTTTCCGAAAATTGCGCGGGTTCTTTGATTCACTTTTTAGAGAAAAAGAAAAGAAATGAGAGAAGGAGAGGGCAAACTCTTTTTTTGCTAATATACGAATCCTACGA